ATAATAATAATAATAACAATAACAATAATAATAATAATTTATTAATGATAAAAATAAAAATAATAATATCTATAACAAAATCCTTGATCATGATTGGTTCTCTGCATGCCTATTTGTCATGTAACTGGCACGCAATCACCTGGGTGTCCAATTACAGGTATCCAATTTGAACTTTTTGTAATTGGATACCTGTAATTGGATACCACGTGATTCGCACATCAATTACGCATGCTTCAATGGCTTCCTTTGAAATGCTTCCTACAGTTTTCAAAACTTATAAAAAGTGCTACAGACATGTTTGCTCAAAAGAATTAATCAAAAGACATTTTTAATTCCGAAATTTTTTATAGTTACAATTTATTAGTAGTTGGACTTTAATTTGTGCCATACAATTTGGAAGAAATTGTGCTCGTAATTTGGTCCAATTATTGTTAATAATAATGATAATAATGATGATGATGATAATGATAATTATAATGATAATAGTAATTATTATAGTAATAATAATAATAATAGTCGAATATTTACCCAGGATAACCTTTCAGTACAAAGTACTGTTATCAATGGGGTCCTGCTGACTAAGAATTAAAAAACTAATAAATAAGAATTATTGAGATAATAATTACAGTGTATATAAAATAAGATACATATTAAGGCAAAAATACACCAAGTTAAAAACCATTCTCTGTGGCATGATAGGTATGGAAATTGTTTTGCCAAACAGAGCAAGTACAAGAAATGTTGACAAGGTAATGTCTGGTTTTAGCTTCCGCCTTTAGGTCTCAATATAAAAAATTGGATGTATGATCAAGTGCATAGTAGATACTGTATGAAAGTGACATCAATCATCGATAATGTGAAATTGGCTTTTCTTTTTTCTCGCAGGAAAATTCAAGAGGAAAGCCTGAGAACATATTTGTTCACATATAACAGTGTGCATGACTCATTGAGGTACTTAAACATTCAGAGGAATGGGGAAATGTAGCAATGCATACAATGTTTACAATGCACACCACCTCCCTTGGAAAAACTTGTGCACCATATTCTTGATGAAAATCTCTTTTAATTGTTATGCCTGACTTTCACTTGGTAATGTCAAAATCAAAATTAGCATTCCTTCTGGAAAACATCCTGTTTGCTTTATTTTGCTCTGAATATCACTCATAAAGGTGTATTGCTTTGGATCATCCTTTATTTTATTTTTTACTCTCTGCTAGCTAGCCTTGGATTTTGCCCTCTTTCCTCAACCATGCACAGCACTTGTACTCAAGATCACATCACACCATTTCATGCTACTTCTACCGATATTTAGGGACAGACCATTATATTTTTGTTGAGTTGGGGTTGGGCAATTTTGGTGGGCATGACATTTCTTTCTCACCTTTAAGTTGTGCATGATTTTTTTAGTCGGGCAATAGTTTGTGCAAGAATTTTTTTATGTCTAAATCCAAATAATGATAATAGAAAGAGTTTCCTTAATTTTTTTGTCGCCATGGCTCCCCTTGCAAGATTTTTCTGTGGCAGTTTTTGCTGTGCAGGAATTTTTTATTGGAAATTGCCCAACCAACCCCTTCCCCCTCCAAAAAATGATTTGCCATCCTTTAGGAGTTTAGATTAATATGTTTCCCACGAGGTGAGTATGTTTTGTTACTGAGCCCAGTGTTAAAGGCGTGGTAGATAATTCTTTAGTTATCCACCTTGTGTGGACATTACTGAATGTCTTGTCAGATTTGAACAGAGGAAGACAAACTTGACCATGGTCATAGTAAAGAAACCCTACAGAATACATGGGTTAAGCAGCAGTATCTTTTGAGAAAATCAGTCGGAATTAGCTCTCTTTATCATAATAAAGGGGTTGTACAAGGTGACTGGATTAAAAGATGGTTTGACAAGTTCAAATTCCTGCTGTGATTTGAAGTAAGGCAGCATCAGTTCTTTCTTGAAAACTTTTTATCTGCAGGAAAATAATTGTTGTGAAATGTTTTCAAGTCAGGAGCAATGCTGTTTGATGTTACATCATAACAGGAAGATAAAAGTTCTTTAAAAACGTTTAAAACAGATCTAAAAAGTAAAATTGTCTCTAAATTTTCGACCGCCTTCTGCGGTCTTCTTCAGAGAGTGATGATTTCGCGCGATTCACAGAATTTTAATAAGCTGGGATGTTATTTTTTTTTAAGAAGATAAAAAACCTGTTTATATGAGGAAAATAAGCCGTGTCACACGCTTACCATATGAACAGTACCAGTTCACATCTTTTGTAAGCCACGGCTTGCGTAAGACAAGGGTTTTGAGCTCTTCGTGGCTTATATAAGATGGGAAACACTCTATAAATGGCATCACCCCTTGTTTGTGGCTTAATTAAGATGTGACCTTACACTGAGCAAGCCCAAGTTTTTCTCACTTGCATGACAGCTGGCGTAATTCTGCGATTGCTACAACAACCAGCACAAACGCAAGGCATTAGTCATGAATAAGCCGGAAACCATTTATAGGAGCACTTCACATCTTATATAAGCCCCGCTAGTATAAATGGTCCAGTTCACGCCTTGTGTAAGCTGCAGCTTCTGGAAGCCATGGTTTATTTTTCTCGTATAAATGGTCAGTTATTCAACCATCTTTATCCATTCTATTTGTGATTGATGTGCCCGTGTCAGCTCAAGTATTTATTTGTTGTCTCTACTTGTAGTTTGTATGCGTTGGCTGAAATGTTTTATTTGCCTCTATCTGTGGTGCACAGCACTATCAGCAAAATGATCATCAATGAAGAGCTGCAGGTTTGTGATATTGTTTCTTTTTTAATTATTATTATTATTATTATTATTATTATTATTATTATTATTATTATATGGCTTGTTCTTGTATCCGATATAACAGGCACTCTGATTGGCTAATCGTAGGGCATTATTTTCCTGTAATGCCCACAAGAATTACCTTGACCTTACCGTATAGACCTCGCTACTGCTTGGTCAATACGGCAAGGTCTCGGTCTGAGATTTTCCCATAAAGACCTCACTCTGACATAATGAGTAGTTATTATTATTATTTTCACAGTCAAGCAGTTAAAGTAATTTGTATCGAAAACTTAATCTTTACATCTGCGTAGAGAAAGCCACACATGTAAGGCTCACCTCTTGGGATCAGGGTCTGAACCCCATATTGTCCTCTAATCTTGCTCAGAGCCCTGTGCGATAACCATTTAAGGTTTTTCAGTCCACCACTTAATGGCAAATTTTACTAAGATGTCAGAGAATTGTAATATAAAACAATTTTCCTCTGTGTCTAACTATCAAGTAAGATTATTGTGCTTCAAAGCTGGAGTTTAAATGGAATTCACCAAAGAAAATCAAAACAGGTTTCTGGGGAATTGTTATACAACCATGGTATCAGTGGAATTCTGACGTTTAACATGCACCAACAGGTTTCACAAGCCCTGAGTT